GAGAGAGAGAGAGGGAAATGGAATAAGAAATTTAACGATTATACTTCGATATCAAGCTAATGTATATGCCATTTTTATACATAACGAACATTCCCGATGAAAACTCTCATCTGCGAAATAAAATAGAATAATGTGTACGATCAGCATTTAAATCACTTCTATCACGACATACTATCTCGTTACTTGAATTTAATCAATTTTTTTCCGAGATTGATAATAATTCAATGGTTTCCCTAATCCCGATGTCTGAATGCGCGATAACACGTAGAAAAAAAAAAAACGAAATAAAGATAATCTGGGGAGCAGTTTCTTCCTTATGGAGCATTTTCGCGACGGGTTTTCTTTTAAGATCGCGCGCGGATCTTAAGAACAAACTATTCCACGCAAGCGGCGCAAAAAAAGATTCTCGGGACGATCGTAAAAGAGAGACTGGGAGAAAATATCTTCCAGCTCATAAACCTACCTGGGCTTTATGAGAACCACCGGTGGTGGGCAGGAAATTATGTCGTGGCCAACTTTTATTCTGAGCGGTTCACGACTCGTCACGCATTAGAGCGAAGCCGTAATTCCGATTCGGGACGAGCCACGACATCGCTAACTCGAAATCGATAAACAATGCATGCATACACGATAAGATTATCATAATAATACCTTTCGTCACGACGATCAGCAGGCGATACTATTATATTAAATGATAGCAGCGACTAGAGCGAGTGTAATAAATGGCAAAATTATAAGAGAATTACATATATATATATCATATATAATGATAGTGTAGCTCTTGTTGTAAGTGCATTTCAAAACATCGCTCTTCTTCTACGTATTTTTTATATTAACTAATCTTCGTTAAATGTAAAATAAAACTCTAAATATTTAATACATATTAAATTTCATAGAATTTTATATACATTGACGTATTTAATTCTTATGCAAAAGTTATATATATATAAAATGCACGTATATTAAGAAACAGCGTGTTACATTAAAAATAGAGTTATTATCTTCACCAAGTTCTACATTTCCGGCATATTTAATTTTTATTCATGAAAAATTTATTCTCTCATGTGAGATATATAACACATATTAAAAATTATTATTAAAATTGGAATTATTATCTTTCAGTAAATGTTGAAACCGTATTCATACTATTATGCCATAATCAAATTATTTAATGCTGAACATATTACATACTAAAAATGAATTAAAAAAAATAAAAATAAAAAAAATAACTTTTCGTGTTTTTTCTTTTAACACAAATATTTAAATATAATTTTTTTTAATCATATGTATATATATATATATATATATATATATATATATATATATATTATATGCAAATCGTAAGATTATAGTATAAAAAAATCAACTTTATCTATTTTTAAGTTAATTATACAGCGTGTAAACATATTATCATAATATAATAAAACATACCATCATAAGTAAAATCATAAAATATAAGCTTAGGTTGAAGTCTTCTTTTTATAAGAACAAATTTAGCTAATAATCGTTACAATGTAAAGAAGAAGCTCATTATTATTATTGGAAATGTTAAGTCAACTGACGCAAAAATATAATAGAAACTATAAAATAAACCTAGGGCGCAACCACTAGGTTATTGGAAACTCCACGAAAGGAAGAAATATCTTACGAGAGAAATGTAAAATAATTTAGAGATTAGCATCATAAAAGAAAAATCTTTTAGAAGAAAAGATTAACATCAATAAATCCTGAAAGATAATAAAAACATGATATAAAAGGTACAATCGATCAAAATGACTTCCGGACGCCGGTACTACTACTTTCCCTCTTTTTAAAATAATTAGAGGGATTCTTTGAAATTCTCGAGCAATCTTGTTCGCGCGATATTATACACGCAGAGAGGTGGAGGTCATTAGTACTCGTCTGGGTTGCTTCCTCTTTCCCTCAACCTCAACAAGATTCATTCGAACACATCCGCGCGTACAGAAATGCTCCCTGGACTTTAATTAATGTAATAATTTATTGCGAGGGAAAAACGAAGTTGATGAAACGACAGTGAAATATCAGCGAATACGGCACTTCAGACGGACTTAACTCGAGCTTCGATATTATGAATTAAGTGAAATATAGGAGATTGCATAAAGGACTGAGTAGAAGCTTGCCATTCGAATGTAACACCTATACGAAAATTGTTAATTGCTTCGCAAGATGTAACTGGATAATTTTGAATATTTTAACAGCAACAAGTGGCAAAAGCAGATAGAAGGGGACGCTTAGATTTTTATAAATTTACATCTAATAAATTTACATCAGTTCATAATTTAGAACATAAATATCATACTTCATTACGTAACAGGGTGGAGATGACAGTTAAAAAGAGAAATCTAAAGAAAAGAGAGAAAAGAAAGTTGCTAAAGATTTTGTAACTTCATTAAAACCGCTCACGATATTATATCATTTTTATCGTAAAGAAATAAAATATAAAAATCTACTTTTAGTACAGTGAACATCATATTTCTATAATTTCACAAAGTAAAATCGAATTAATAAGAATATATATTTCTACGAAATATATATATATATATATATATATATATATATATATCTTCAAGTGCAAATTTAAAATATCTCTTTTGAGATATCCCTTTTATGACAGCTAAATTTGAAGTTCAAAGTTTAATTTATCTCGTATATTACTGTGTTTAGTATATAATAATATACATTAATTCCGAATATATTTACAATGATGTTTTTATACAGTAATTCTATAATTAATTTTCCAATATACAATATTTTTCCAATATTATTAAACTGCGAAGGATGAGAAAATTAAGCACAAATTGTAGTCTATTTTCATCCATCCACCAATCATTACAAGGAGCCAACAAGCCCCAAACAATTTTGTACATCGATTTATTTCTCTTCCAACCCTAATTTAAGGATCACTACGTCGTGGCAACAAGTACAAGTTTATTGGAAGAGTGACGTGGAAGGGACGCGATGGCCTTCCTTCACTCTTCAAACATTTATTATCCCATACGAAATACGACATACACGAGTATTACTAAAGAAAATAGGAAATACGAGGGGATTTTTGTGAGGGGTTACCATACAAATTTATATTTGTGATATATACGATTTCATCACTTTGAGAGCTCTATTCAAGCTCTCGAATTTTTTTTTATCACTTACGTCATTGATATGTCATACATATAACATAAAATTCCTCTTCTTGAATAAAAATAAAAAAAAAAAACGCAGGTGCTAAATACAATAAAATATTAAAACTCAGAATATGGAAAATGCAAGTTAAGTTTATATATGTCAACACAAATTTAAGAAAAAAATTGTAATTTTTTAAACGAATGCGCTGAATATAATAACGTCTTATTTAAACAAATTTTGTAATTACTTTTTTCAACAAGATTCCATTAAACATAAAGCACAAAATAAATAAGAAAAATGTAATGCAGTTGCTAACGTACACGTGCATGCAAATTTACATGTACATACACACACATATACCTTGCGCGATAATAATCGCTTTGTCTCTCTGTTATCTCATAGGATCGCGTCATGTCAAACCAACTCGAATCAATACAAGTCTGCACACATGAGCGTCATTCGACGTATTGTAGGTTTGATTAAAGGAGCACTTTCTGAAATTATCGAGAAATACGACGACCTTCACCTACCATATATCTAAAAGAAATAAACGAGGATAAGCAATGTTCAGAAAAAGAAACACCTTCGCATTATCTGTCATCTTACAAAAACTTGATGCAAAAAGAAATTTGTTTTCCTTCAAAATTATTTTCCTTCGGTTACAATGCTGTAATAATCATGAGAAAAGAGAAGATCGTCGACAAGGTTTCATATTCATGCCGACGGGTTCTCCTTTCGCTCGTAGCG